ATACACGTTTCGGCTGCATTAAATATGACATATCTGCCGTAGTTAACTCTATGTATAGAGCCCTGATGACAAGACTTCTAGACAAACAGGAACTGCCGCCAAAACTGAAAACTTGACGTGGATCTTAAATATATAAGCAATTAAAGAACATCTTACATTTCTTTTCACACAATACGTCTCCTTGCAGTATCAACACTAATTCGGCTGACTTTTATATTTGATCCAAATAGATAGGCTGTATTTACGCCATAACGGTGCACAGCTGATAGAAAGGGACACCTACTGGTTAAAGCACGTTATTGCATTTTATAATTGTATTATTAGATATTAATAGGAGGATGTGCAAAATAGACAAACTAATAAGGCTTTATTTAAACATTAAAGAATACTTTAGGTTAAGGTCTTCTTTTGAATAAGAAAAAAGCTTTGGGGGTATAGAAGATGAATATGGAGGGATGAACCCCTCTTTGATGGTCACACATGCAGAGCACACAGCACACACAGTGAAATCTGTATCTACAGATAAATATTAAGCCTGACAAAGTACTTAACATCTAATATATTGCTTTCCTGCAATGTTAACTATGTTTAAGCACTTATTTTAACTGATATTATACATATGTATTATACTCTTATAAGATGTATGTAGAGAGTATAAGAAATGTGCAGAATATGACAATGTAATGGTGGAGGTACACACATATTGATAGATGTCTTGTAATGCACTGTTGAGGAACCTGCAACCCAAGTTTTTCATTCATTGCATAACTACACCGTAGTTGTGTATAATATGATATGTCAATAAACCTTTGAAAATCTTGAAATCTTGAAAGGGATGTGCAAAATAGTCATTATATACAGTCTTTAATTAACTATTAGTAGAGAATAACGACGAGTAAAGAATATACTTTATAGGGATCCTATTAATATCTAATAATAAAATTATAAAATGCAATAACGTGCTTTAACCAGTAGGTGTCCCGTTCTATCAGCTGTGCACCGTTATGGCGTAAATACAGCCTATCTACCAATTGGATCAAATATAAAAGTCAGCCGAATTAGTGTTGATACTGCAAGGAGACGTATTGTGTGAAAAGAAATGTAAGATGTTGTTTAATTGCTTATATATTTAAGATCCACGTCAAGTTTTCAGTTTTGGCGGCAGTTCCTGTTTGTCTAGAAGTCTTGTCATCAGGGCTCTATAAATAGAGTTAACTACGGCAGATATGTCATATTTAATGCAGCCGAAACGTGTATTACAATGCCGTTATGTGATGACTTTCAAAGAGAAAAGCAAGCACACTCGGAATAATGTATTATTTCATTTTTTTATACAGTCTATGGTTGCTACAGAGGATTGTGGGTAATGTAATGTCTCCGGCCATCCAAAACTCATAGAAAACGACTTGTTTCTCAGAATTGAAGGGGAAAACGTGACAAAAGCATTGTACACACACTAAAACCTATCAATGGCGTTTAATTAACAAGGTGTCTGGTGTTTTTGAGTTGATGAGTAGTGCAGATATCTCTGTCAACTCAATCGACAGTAAGGGGAATACTTACTTCCGGGTGTACAATTCTCCGTTATCCAATGGGAATGGACGCTCACATTGCCTTTAACAGCCTCCGACACAAACGAACGCCGTGCTTCCCTAAGCGTCAAATACCGCCGCAGATGGGAATACATTGCAATCAGTTGAAAGCTCTTTGCGTCCGTTTATGAAGCTGAAGGAGCCTCGGCGCGTCACAACTGGACGCCACGGGACCCTGACCAAGCGTCGCTCCTGGACGCTTAGGGAGTGAGAGTGTGTTGTCAGAGACCACAGGAGAACAATCTCAACACTGACAGGTTTTTGTAACAGAGCGTCACAAACTTTACACTCAAGTTGAAATGTGTCACGCTGCACGAATACGCAGGTGATATGAATTTAACATCTTCACTTCCTTCGTGTTGCCAGGCACGGATCTGGGTCTTCGTATTGACTCTACATGTGATTTCACAAAACTCTGTTTTATCTGCTAATGCTAAACACAACCAGCTCACCAGGTTATCACTATTATTAATAAACATCTTAAAAAGACATATCATAGACATGCCCAAGTAGTTAAATAATGTTTTGGACAATATATATCGTTTTTAAATCAGTATTTATCAATATTGTTGCTATTTAAAACCATTTTATACACAGATACAATGATAATATAATTTCATATTGAAATATCCTTAGATAATGTTAGCTTACTCTGCTGCGTTTTCCCTTTACAAACTGCTCACATGATTTCATTAAAGAACAGTTTGATATATTAGATTACATCAAAACTGGATCCTCTTCAGGTCAGTTTACAGGAGAGACTCTTACTTTGTGTCTGAGGGTCCAGGTTCATTACTGAAGAATGGAGGTTCCCCTATAGACCCGTCACTCTTCAGAGACCACATGGAGACCGTAGACCCTGCTCTCTGTCTGTGGAAACAACACATGTTTAAACATCATTAGTTTATTTAAAGAGCAGCTTTTGATCTATGACTGTTCACCTGATGAAAGATCTTTAGAGTTGTTGAGTCGTGATTGTGGGTTTCTGTTGTTCAAATTCATTCGAGTGTGAAACGTTTTACATATTTGCATTTTATTTGCTTAATTTAACACAAAGTCCAACATGTAGAGTGTGAGGATGATTTCACTAGTAGATTATTTACTATCTCTGATGATGACAAGAAGCAAGAGATCATTTACACTTTGTTAATGTTCTCTACTGGGTTTCATTAAACAGTTTAGATGATCAGATACCAACAAACTGGATCCTCTTCAGGTCAGGTTACAGTGGAGACTCTTACTTTGTGTCTGAGGGTCCAGGTTCATTACTGAAGCCTGGAGGACGATCCATAGACCAGTCACTCTTCAGAGACAGACCACTGCAGACTGAAGACTTGTCCTCTTCCTCTGCTTTTAAATCACTCATCTTCTCCAGTCTGAGAGATAAACCAGTCACACACACACACACACACACACACACACACACACACACACACACACACACACACACACACACACACACACACACACACACACACACACACACACACACACACACACACACACACACACACACACACACACACACACACACACACACACACACACACACACACACACACACACTGTGACTGCGCTGGGCTGTCACATGTTATGTAACTCTGATGAATCAGAAAACAGGAAATAATAAAAGTGTACAACACTTGCAGAAGTCTCATGGACTCTAGGACGCAGATTGTTAACCAATAAGTTATTTTCTGACATCCAGTTTGACAGAGTAAATAATGAATGTGTTAAAAAGCAGATCCTGGTGTTAACACTCACCCTGTTGTTCTCCTCCTGTTGAGCTGTAAAATGGCGTCTGGCTACTCCTACTTTCCCCTTCCCTCACCTGTCTGCAGCTCCTCCCTCTGATTCATAACCAGCCTCACCAGCTGAACCAGTTCACATACAGGGACTTTGTTCAGTGAGATAGAAAAAGACATGCAGCTAAAAACAAGCTTCACAAAGTTATCAAAAGGACACAATATCCTCACATCAGCGTCCATAGGATATAATTCAATCTGCTTTATATAACAAACAATGAACAGCGACTTAAATAAAAACACAAGGCTACATTTAACTAATTTACAAGATGTGCCAAAATCAGGGCTGAAATAGAGATTTCTCCTCTAGCAAGTGTTTTAAATAGGAGGGAAAGTGTTTTAAATAGGGGCAGAGAGACAGGAGAGAATCAGGCTGCAGCACCTCACTGAAAAGTGTTTTAAATAGGAGGAAAGTGTGCAGGGATGCTCAAATGTGTGTTCATGCAGCCCCTAAATAATGGTAATACTGATTAAAAATCATTTCTAGGGCAGAAAGTATTTTAAAAGTGAGAAAAACTATTTTAAATGGCTTAAAAAGCACCAAGTGATTTAAGTGCAGTTCCAAGATTCCCCACAGGAGGGCTCCAGGGAGCGCATCACCCGACATGAGCACAGTGCATTAACAGCAGAAAATACGATTAAAAAAAGGCAAATCAATTGATTTAAAGAGCAGGGAGGCTCCGCACCAGACACAGGTACATTCCTACATCCCCACAATAGTGACACTGATGGTTTAAAGTCGTTTCTGCGGGGAACTGAGTGCTAAAAGTCTGATTGTTTCAGAGACCCATAGTAATGACTAATGATACAATAAACCATTTACATCTAAAAGTATTGATTAAAATGCATTTTTATGGGGAAAAGTGCAGATGAGGTATTTTTGGTATTTTGGGCAAAACACTATATATATATGCCGTTAAAAACTGCAATATATACCTGGCTGCTAAATCATCAGAACTGTTACAGGATGTGTATTTTGTAAATTGTATAACTTTTTATTTTATTATATTTTTTTATCATATAACTTTTTTTTTACTTTAAATACTTTTAATACTTTAATACTTTAATACTTTTTTGTTGTTGCATGTAACATATGTAACATTAAGCCGTCAGTGGCTCTTCCCTGCTGTAACAACGTACATGTCCCCTCTGTGGGACTAATAAAGGTTTTCTGATTCTGATCTGATTCTGAACTACGATGCTCAACAGCTCGCTTAACGGAACTTTGACGCTGGTATCAGTTTGGTTTCCCAACTTTTAATACTTTTTAAGACCCCGCGGACACCCTGAATAAGCATTCACATGTGTAACTTCCTTGTACATGTCACATCCTTTTGGGTAAAAATTAGGCTTTTCACAATAAGATCTACTTTGTTAAAAATCTCCAGATATTGGGTTTAAATGGGGCTTTTTCCAAAAGATAAAACCACATTGTAGGCTACCTGAAGGGAGTGTCCCATGGGCCAACAAATGTAAAATTATCCTATTTAAATGTGTGTATTTATGATCTTTTTTTTAGCTACTTTCATGTTTCATTAAGATTTAGCAGAATCAAAAAGAGAAGTGGAGTTTTGAAAAAGCCGCCTTTATTTTGTAGTTCAGAACGACAGGAAGTTGCTACAGACACTTGAGGACGATGTAGTCACAGACGGTTCCTCCGGGACATCCACACAACTTCCCGATCCTGGCGCCTTTACGCACCGCACACTGCTCCCCTGCACCACACTGACACACATACGCACACACACATACACATACACACACACACAGAATAAATAAAGCAGGTTTAAATTCATGGAGCATTTGTTCTCCTTGGATCCCGAGTACAACCAATATTTAAGACCAAATCATGCACCATATCCGTGTGATACATAATGGTAACTCAAAAACTGCTGCAACAACTCATGAGATGTAGAGCATGAGCATCGTTAAGCATATCTTAAAATAGTTTTCTATGTGTGTTTTTTATTTGTATGCCCACAACACCAAGTCATCGTACGTGTCAACCTACCTGGTAATAAACCTGATTTCTGACATACTTTCATACTATTGTTCTCAGCTCTAATGCATCGTAACATTGACACAGAGATAAAATACAGATCCATAACTAAGTGGACCCATGCAGACCTGTAGAACCGTTTGAGGGAAATGACAGGTTTCTTAAAGGTGGGGTAGGTAATTCACTTCAGAAACACTTTTTGTTATATTCCATGGAATGCTCTTAACGTCCCGATAGCAATGAATACATTAAATGCTTTGACAATAAATACATTAAAAAAAATGTCATCTGTGGAAGCCGTAGTACTGTAAAAAGCACGACCAATCATCTGAGCCGGGCTAAAATAACTGGATGGCCTACCTGCCTGTCAGCCTTCCATCTCGTGCACAAACTTATCTCGTGCCCTCATTGGTCATGTGCGCGTTCGTGTGTGTTGGAGGAGGGTCTCTGTGAGGAAGTCTGAAGGAAGGGGCAGATTTCTTTTGGTTGTGTACTTTCAAATTCTAGCGCACTCGAGCTGGTTCCTCCATTCTTACCTACCCTACCTTTAAGAGATAAATAAATAATAGATCTTACTGCAGGAAGCCAGCCGAGCTTCCTCTCTGACGACGGCAGCTGTTTGTTCTTTAATCGCTCCAAGACTTCCTGTAGAGCTTCAATCTGAGGAGAGAAAAGAGACCTAATACTTTATTGACAATACAAAACATTCAACGCGGACATAACGTAAATATTTTTGTAAATCATGTCTCTTTATTATTATTGTATATTTATGATTTCTGTATACATTACATTGTTTTTTTCTTAGAATTTTTCAATTTGCTTTTTCAATCTGAAAACCTACTCTAAAACAAATATTTAAATAATATATTGGATAACATCTTTAGTCCCTCTTGACATGATTCAGATTACAAAAAAAACCTTATTTTTTTCACCAAAAATACTAGTCATATTTAAAGACTTTCTTTGAATAATAAAAAACCTTTTGGGGGTGTTTCAGATTATTTAGCCATATGTCCGTCTATATTTGTGCAGAAAACACACAAGTACTTCCAGAATGTATTTTTTAAATCACATCGGCGGGAAACGGGCTTCTGTATAAAACCGTTTTTTAGTTTCTTCACTCACCAAATCTCGCTCCTCGTGTAATGACGTCTATGTTGTAGTTTTTTATGTTTCCCATTCACACGGTTTTGCTTTTAATATTTGCTCTTTTTTTACATTTGAAAACCTACTTAAATACAATAATATTTTTTAAATAATATAGTGGTCTTTATCCAGTCCTCTTTAACCTAGTCCTAGGATTAACATCTCAGAATATTTGTTTTTCAACAGTAAAAATTATAAGATGAAAACTAAATAAAAAAATACTTGATAAAAATAAATTTTGAGGGCTTTTTTATTATTTTGAGAAATGTTATAACTTCCAGAATTACACTTTTTAATCACATCGGCCGAAACGGGCTTCCGTATATTTTTTGGTTTCTTCACTCACCAGTTCTCGCTCCTCTCGTGTAATGATGACGTCTTCAGGCGATCGCTCTTCGCTGTTTCCGAACGCAACGAGCAGCCAGCAGGAGGCGCTGAGGAGCAGAATCCTTCGACTCACCATGATGCCGCTGATCGACTCGGACACTGAAGGACTCTGGGAAACGCAGGACGCCTCAGACGGTCCTCTGAACACGGAGGTGTCTCAGAGATGAAGGATTGTATTTTATATGTGAGCAGCGCTGACGTCAGAGAGAGGATATTTACCCGCTGATAATGAGACAAGCAGCGACTCACCTCCAGGTCAGAGAGAAACCTCCGCCCGGCACACAGGAAGGACATTTTGTGGAAGTGATTTTTTTTTAAACTTGGGTGCATCCACTTCGATCAGAAGTTCAATTTGTGACCAATTATCTTTTAATAAATATATTCATGTTAAAAAAACACTACATTTTAGATGAATATCTTCACATTTTTATGAATGCATTATGGTAACATCACATTTTTAAGTACGTGTGTGTGTATATATATATATATATATGTTGTTGGGGAATAATTTGCTTAGGTATTCAACCTTCGACACAGTTCATAATTTTCTCTCTTCACTGTCTATTTTCTCGTGGCATAGTTCTACGGCCTTGGTTATTGCTGCTATCTCTCTTAAAGGGGACCTATCATGCAAAATGCACTTTTGTACGTCTTTTATACATGAATATGTGTCCCCGGTGTTCCAGGGAACTCACCAAGTGTCAGAAAACACAACCCTCTCTATTTTCCTCCATACCCAAATCTCTAAAAAAGGGGCTGCAACGGATCTGATAAAAACTGATCCAGATTTGAACACTGTCCTGACGTCAGGACGGTGGCGCTACGGCTATTGGGCCAACTCCACCAATCAGGAGGAGACAGCCACGGCCATTGCCGTTCGAAAGCGCTGGAGACGCTGTAGTACATATGCCAGGCCTGTAGATGGTGCTGTTCTCAAAGAATCTGCCCTTGCAAAAACAGGGGTAAAAAAGTGCAATTTGAGCGAAATGAGGCATGGCTAAAATGCATGATCTGTTTGGTATTTTGAAAAAAAAAAGTATAAATATGCCTTATATAGGTATGGTCCTACACTATATTATTATAATATAGCATGATAGGTCCACTTTAAGGAGGAGCAGCTTGGGTGCATTGTTGTTGCCAGTCAACAGGGCCGTTTCTTCCTATAGGCGGACTATGCAGATGCATAGGGCCCCCGTGGCCACTAGGGGGCCCCCAAGAAAGGTCAGGTTCAGCCTCAATATATTTGGGGAGAATTCAAATGAGCCGTCTTTATTTGTAGACAGCCGAGCCCCCTCCTGTGTTCGGTGAAACATTATATGCTTAAAAATCAAATGTAGGATATAAACACAACTAAACTGCAATGATAGCAAAGCTGAGGCTTGTGTTTTTTATTGTTGAGAAAATGCTGCATCTCTTGCATTTATTGACGTAGAGCCTTATTGTTTACCTTTTTAATATCATTTTTTGTAAGTTTCAATTGCTTGGTTTTCGTGAAATTAGGCTGTTTTCCTCTTAAAGTGAAACAGATTGATGCATCTCCACAGATCATCTTAAAGGCTACATTCATTGTAGTTAAACTGTAAAAACTAGGGCCCCCAAAAAGCTAGAAACGGCCCTTCCAGTCAATAGGCGCTTTCACACCAAGTACTTTGCCGTACTTAGTTCATCAGTTCTGATTAACTAAAGAGCATATCGCGTTCACACCGGAATAAGTCCCTGAGGGAGGATTAGGCAAATGGGTTAGCCTTCCGAGTAAATCGCCAGAACACCGACACCTCATCTCCACCGCTCCCATGTTTTCTTTTGTGTTGCCATAAGTTAGTCTCTCTGCATTGGTGCGCGGGGCTAGTGCTAATAATGCTAATGCGAGGATAATAAAATGGCGGCTTCACAAAACTTTTTGGGAGTTTTACGGGGCGTGGTTTGCAATCCGCCCAGCCAATCAGAAATGGGAACCTTTTTCTCCCATGAAAGTACCTGCTCTCTAGCAGGGACTGAAAAGGGGGTGGAAAGGTTCTCATGAACTAAGTTCTAGTTCCGGATTTTTTTGGTGTGAACGCACATTTTCAGAACTATATCGGAACTATACTGGGAAAAGTACTCCGGTGTGAAAGCGCCTTATGACAGAGCACAAGCCGCCATGAGGTAGTTTACTGTTCAGGGACGAAGGTTCCCTGGCGCACATTCTTTCCTATGGACGAGAGCTCTAGTTAGATTCAGGGTCCATATTTGTTTAGTCTCACTGATAAAGAATGTTGATTATTACACTCCGAACTAGTTAAAACCTCGAGCTGCAGAAAGAGTTCTTCAGAATTGGTTTGGCAACCGCTGTGTCAACTCGTGACACACCACCTGTCTCGTCAATTCTCCGGCCGTAACTCCAAATAAACCGTCAGTGTTTGCCATCAAAGCTCCAGCTCTCCTCGTGTCTCTCTTACCCCTTTCACACCAACGGTGTTTCAGGGCCGGTTCGGTGCTGGTGCTTGAAAAGCACCGGGTTTTCCTGTTCACACCGCAGCGGAGCAGCGTCATAGCTCCGGAATCCGGTTCGTTTCGAGCACCAAAAAGTTGTCCGTCTAGAAGCAAGAACCGCATACGTCACGCTTACGTCGGAGGGGGGCGAGATTAACCTGAGCTAACACTTAAGGCGAGTACGGCAAATAAAAGTTGTAACAAGCAGTAGTGCTGAGCAAAGTGACTAGAACGCAACCACACACTTGTTAAAAAAAACACACTTTATAAAGTCAGGCAACACTAACCAGGCTTCGTGTGATTCTGTTTATTTGTACCTTACTTTGACCATCCGTTCTCTGTTATTGATCATTGTGGAGAGCAGGCAGACGTTTTGTGTGTTATTATAGCAGCTATCGGATGGAATCAATACATGGGCTGCACAGGTTGTCATGTCCGACTATCACAAGTAGAATCATAATGAAAAATACGTCGGTAAAAAGTGCCTGTAGAAAACTGCTTAGCAAGTAGTCAGTTTAGCTTCGGTTGCTATGCTAACATCACCCATGTTATACCAGAGAAACTTTCATAACAGCGTTGTGATGCCAAACAGCGTCAATTCAGACTGACACCAAACAGCGTCAATTCAGACTGACACACATTCACTTAAGGGGAACTGGGGATATGTATCAGCTGCTTGTGTGACAGTCAGACAGTGAATACTTTAGAGCCGTGTGAGCTAACCCGGAGCTAACGGGAGAATACACTCCCGTTGAAGAGCAGCCGGCCAGCACTGCAGCGGTCGGTAAATGCCGCTGAAACACATTAATAAACAATGAACCACGGCACTCTGGAGAAAAGTATAAGGTTGGAGAAGTCGTTATTTAATTTAATCTGGCTTCGTATGATTAAAAGCAACGCAGTCCCCGGCCCGTTGTTGTGAGGTGAGCTCCGGCGTTGGGGAGAAACTCAGCGACGTAAACTGTGACGTCATGACGCAGCAGCGGCAGCACCAGTCGGGCTCTGAGCGGTGTGAAAAGAGCCGGCGCTAAACCGAAGAACCGGTTCTGAACCAGAAAAGCTCTAGCACGGAGCTTGAACCGGAGTTGCGTTGGTGTGAAAGGGGCATCTGAGTCCTGTTTCCAATTGCTTCAGAAGTTTCCCCCCCAAATGTGTAAATCTTATTTTGTAATGTTTATTTAAATATGTTTCTTATTTAATATTTATGTTCTTGGCAAAGTATTTTTCTGAGTTCTCTTTTTTTGTTTCGACACCCAGGTATTTAATGTTCCTTTAAACCAGCTGCCTCAGAAGGAAGAGGAAGTGGGATGACGTTTCAGGGTCTCCAAGTGTCACCATTTACGTCAAAGACACGTCAACATCTTCCTCAGCGTTTGACTTCTGACTCACACGGGAGAGGGTCAGAATAAAGTTAAATAACAGAGAAATAATGAGTCTGAAATGTGCACAGCGGGAGGAGAGGAAATATATTTTCTGATATTTATAGACTGCAACACAAAGAGGGATATGCAGTTGTTCCCCATTGTTTTTATTAACAAAATAGGTCTTGCATTACATTATGTGCATTTCATTCTTTAACAGGTCGCAAGAGATTCATTCTCAACATAATCAAACAGAAACATCCAAACGTCTCTTAAACTCTCCGAACACAAACTGCTTCTGCACGCTGTAGCTTCAAAACACTCCAGCATGAAAACATATAACTAAGAACAAATAAAAGTATCTTTAAAATATACAGAATAAATGTACAAGTGCACCTTCAAGGGAAAAAATAAACAGCATTGTCCCGGCTGCAACTCGTTCCAAAATGCTCTCCGTTTCTGAAGCAGAGAAAATAAAATAAATGTGAAATATGAACGACTGGATTCCAAGTTTTCAGATTCTGTCATTTAATCAAAGTTCAATTTACTTTGTTAAAGAATTTGCTTTATTTTTGTTATACTTGTGAGTAAGTAATGTCCATTTATTTAACTGGTTATCAGACAAAATTGTAATTTAAATTAAATAAGGATTTTAAATCCTGCACATTTCTTCTCCACACTACCTCTTTTAAATCAGCACAGCTCTCCACTTTAAAAATGCAGTTGCATTTGTCATATGTAAATTAGGGTGGTCCTTAGTGCCATGTACATTTTCGAATTGATTTATTTTAAGCTCCAACCACCGGAATTCATTATATTAGTCAAAAAAACTCTCCTGGTGAATTTTATTCTAATTCCAACAACATTTACCCCTCCCTCATCAACCTGGAAGTTTAGCCTCACGTAGGGTGACAATATTTACATTAGGGTGGTTCTTAAAATTGAAAGTGGGAAAGTCTAAGCTCCAACCCCCAGAATTAATTCTATTCGTCAAGAAGACTCTCCTAGTGAATGTTTTCCTCAATCTGACAACATGTACATCGACCTGGGCTGCCACTGAGCTACACTTCAAGGTTGATGAGGGAGGGGTACATGTTGTCAGATTGAGCAAAAATCTAAAACAAGACTAAGACAGAAAAAATAAGGGAATCTAAACTGGCTGAAACGCATTCTCTAATATTTTTGTATTCAAAATTACTTACTAATGATTTTTCTATTCTCAAAATATTTGGTGTATTTTTCCGTTGATCAACAAACCTATACGTTGATAATGGTTGCAACTGTACTTTGAACACTTAAATTATATTATTAACATTTTAAACTGTATACCCCGGTTATCTAGGCCCTTTGTTTTGTTTAATGTATACCATGTTTATCTAGGCCCTTTTTGTTTTTTGTTTGATGTATATATATATATATGTCACACTGTAGGACTGCGGGAAACGATATTTCGATATTTCTGGATGTACAACATGTAGAATTATTGACAATCAAGCTGACTTTGACTTTGAGCTGTGTTTGATAACACTTCTGAATGCTCCTATAAGTTATATTTGATATGAACCCCTTTTACCTTTCTATGAATGAACTGTGTACACTCAGGTGAGTAAAGAGTCTACCTGTGTGTTCTTACCTCAGTCTTTGTTGAACGCCTGCCGAGCCTGAAAACACAGACACATCAGTTCAGATTCCTTAGGGTAACACATCCAACAACTACTATTTACACGACTACATGGTGCCAAATAATACATTTAGGATTTCTTAAATTTATATACTTATTGAAAACAAGCTACAAAATGTAATACCTTGGAAAATGCCGTTCAATACTTTTTAATAGCCTTCATTTTCGCTAAATTGATTTATCAACTTTTAATACTTTTTAAGACCCCGCGGACACCCTGTACACTACAAAAGAAAATCCATGATACTTAAAAAGATCTTGTTAAGTTCAAAAGGTTATCCCTAAAATGTTATCTTCCTAAAGTTATTTTGAACTTTACAGAGACGTCAGGAGTCAGCTGTTTTTGTGCATTTGAAGAGGATTTAATTGCGTCACTGACCATGTAGCTGCCGGTGTGGAAGCCGCACATGTACCACAGCATCAACATGCTGGAGGAGGCGTCAGCGCCCGCAGAGCTGCCAAACGTCCAGAGAGGGGGAGGAGGAGGGATGAAGGACACAGAGTCCTGGAGACGGAGAGAAGAGTCAGACACCAGAGGTGGGAAGTAGTGGAGTACAAATACTTTGTTACTGTACTTAAGTACATGTTTCTGGTATCAGTACTTTACTACATTTTTCTGACGACTTTTTACTTTTTACATTTTGAACACAAATACAGTGGCGTAACTATCGACGGTGCAACGCACCGGGGCCCAGATATATATTTTTTAAATATTTTTTTTTGGGAGCCCCAATGGCATTGACCGGTTCACGCAGTCTTCAAAGTAACCAAGCAACCTAAATTAATTTGTAATTTGTCTGTCCAATGACCTTGCTCCCTTTCATGTCATACCTTGTGTGACGAGCGAACCGTTTAATCAATCTGTACTGTAGCTAGCAGCAGCAAGTTCAGTAGCATTATAAAAAATGTAATAGCTTGCATATATAATGTACAGCAAACACAAGCACAAGAGCAGCGCTCAAAAGAGAAAGGACAAGAGAGAACAAGGAGATGTAACAGCTAATCTGACAAAATTAGACCGTTTTTTTTGTCATACATCGTCCTCGAAATCGAGCGCTAACGTTAGCAATGTTGACGTGCAGCTGCAGCCGGAGCCGGAGGCTAACGATAGCTCACCTGCCTCACCACCATCATTGCCATCTAGCTCCACAAGTGAAGCTGTATCCGTGGCTGTGTCTGGATTTGGCTGTGCCCGGCGGTGGTCCAACAGTTCCACCAAGGGCCCCAACCGATAGGGGACTCTATGGTGCTATTGAGACCCCCGACGCCAAGATCAAAAGCTATATTTTAGCAACCGGTCTATGTAGGCCTACCGGCCCATTCCCCAGAGACAAACATCAAGGAAACAGGTGTAATCCTCTTAGTTCGCTGTGCCGTTGTCAGGCTGTGGTGGTCTGAGGCCAGGGCAGGCTGTTGTTGTTGGCCTACATGTGGCGCTTCTGAGTGGTTGTGTATGTCCGTGCGTGTGTGAGCGCAGCGGGGGGGGGGGGCCCCAAAACAATATTTGCACCGGGGCCAATCACAACCTTGTTACGCCACTGCACAAATACCTGTACTTTCTACTTCTTACATGTTGAACACAAATACCTGTACTTTCTACTTCTTACATTTTGAACACAAATACCTGTACTTTCTACTTCTTACATGTTGAACACAAATACCTGTACTTTCTACTTCTTACATGTTGAACACAAATACCTGTACTTTCTACTTCTTACATTTTGAACACAAATACCTGTACTTTCTACTTCTTACATTTTGAACACAAATACCTGTACTTTCTACTTCTTACATGTTGAACACAAATACCTGTACTTTCTACTTCTCACATGTTGAACCCAAATACCTGTACTTTCTACTTCTTACATGTTGAACACAAATACCTGTACTTTCTACTTCTTACATGTTGAACCCAAATACCTGTACTTTCTACTTCTCACATTTCCCAAACAGGCTGGTTCCTTTAGTTTGAATGTGTGTTTGGTGGCGTGATCATTATTATTTAGAGTCATTGCGTGCCTATTGATTTGAACACGATCCGTGTATCCATCATTTCCTGGTCTTCTCTAAAGAAGAGGGACCAATGAAAACTTTGTCATGTTGCCGTTGTTCAGCATGGAAACATTCATTAGCTAACAATGACATTATTGTTCTATTAATATAAAGGGAGGTCAGGTACTCTTTAAAACAGCTGCTAGTTATGGGTACTTTTTACTGAAGTACATTTCAAAGCCCTCTTTACTTTGACTTTGGTAGAAGTAGAAGTACCGACTAAACTTCTTTACTCGAGTATTTTTAAACACAAGTATCTGTACTTCTACTTGAGTAAAGGATGTGTGTACTTTTGCCCTCTGTCAGACACACAGAGGAATATTAGTTATTAATAAATAAGATATTAGTTTTACCCCGCAGCCAGGAGGTGCAAAGGGAGGGAAGAAAGAGAACATGTTGGGCGGTGTCTGAGTTTCGTCGTTCTGCTTCTCTTCTGATTCCTTCTCCACTTTACTCTGATGATTATTACTGGCTTTCTCTTTCAGCTGCAGACAAACACAACACAATTAATACAACCAGCTTCCACCTGTGGCAACAAAACACCTGCAGGTCTGAAAGGTGGAATCTTATTTGCTGTATTTAATTATACATGTTATTAAAGGTCCCATGTCATGCTTTTCTGGTTATCACCCGTCCCCTTGTGTGTTATGTAGGTTTTTCTGCATGTAAACGGTCTGCAGAGTCACAAACCCTCAAAGTACACCCTGTAGCGAGTAAAACTCTAACACAGAAAATACCTGTCTCTGCTGCCCCAGAACGCCTCGTTGGACATTTTTCTTCCCGAGTATAGTGACGTGACCATACCCAGGTGCAAATGGACCAATCCGTGGAGCTCCTCACACACACACACACACACACTCAGCCTTATCTTTTCTCAGGCTGTGAGTGTGTGGCGAACAGCCAGGCTACGAGTGTATGCGTGTGCTCAGGCTGAGTTCCGCGGTATCTCGCAGACCCCACGCAGCAACCAGGAAACGACCCCAGTAATCCAGCTCACACTGTCCGCTCTTCGAGCCCCGCAACGTCCCGCCAACACGGCACCCAGACCCCACGCAGCATTCTCATCCGTTTGTCATTACTGGTGTCATTTTCTGGTTGCTAACAAACGGCCCATTGTAACACATAATCACTGATGTTCCGCTGTAACGGTAGTGGACTCATCAGAACAGAGTGGGCGAGCTGACCAATCAGAGCACAGTGGGCTCACAGGGAGGGGGGGGGCAGGCGCTCCAACAAGGCGTTTAGGACAGAGAGTGAATACACATACTATACAGAGATGCTGTATGAGAAACCAATGTGAGTTTGGAAAATTGAACAATGTAAATCTATTCTAGTAGACCTCAACAATGGAATTATGATCAGTGGAAATAGCCATGACATGGGACCTTTAATGATGATGAGCATCATAGGAGGAAATTACATTTTAAGCATCAGTTTGCACGTTCTACTTTAAAGCAGGTGTGTGTCTCTTGGCGTAAAGAAGTGGAATTCTTCGCGAATGATTTAAAGGGCCGTCAGAAATGTTTTATGTTTAAGAAAATGTATAAAGAAAGCGTAATTAGACAGTATGAATTTGACTTTTGATTGTGTTCTGGTTTTATGTTTCAGTATTTGTAAGCAACTGTAACTGAAAGAATATTGCATTTTTATGGTTATTTCATTTTTAGTTTTTTTTTTAAGAAGGAGCAGGTAAAATAAGATGTTCTTCTCCGTGCTCCTTTCCACCATGCGCTAAAACATTTTTTTTTAAAACCAGTATAAGGGTACATGTTTTTGTTTTAAAATAACTGCCTTGTGTGGAATAAACAAATACATAATAAATAAATGATCATTTTGTCCAGCATATGTCTTTGGCTGAAACTCTTTTTTAATGAATGCAACACCAACAGTTGACCAGCAGGTGGGGCTATAACATTAAAAAGGCCCATACACAGAACCAGATCAGTTTAGTTTCCCCCCCCCCCCCCATCTGATGGATACTCACCCAGGAGAAGTTCTGCTGCTCCTCCTCCTCTCTCCCCCCTGACCTCTCTCTCCCTCCTCTCTCCCCCTGGTTCTCCTCTCTCCCTGCTCTCTCCCCCTGGTTCTCCTCTCTCCCTGCTCTCTCCCCCTGGTTCTCCTCTCTCCCTGCTCTCTCCCCCTGGTTCTCCTCTCTCCTCCTCCTCTTCCAGTCCACGTTGGTTTTGCTGCCGCTGCTCGTTGCACTCGGCTTCCAGTTGTTGCCCTGCAGGACCAAACAAGACACCTGGGTTTAAATCTTAAAGTGGACCTATTATGCTATATTGGAAACATATATTGTAGGGCCATACCTATACAAAACATGTCTGTGAAGTTTTTTGCTTAAAATTCCAAACAGTTCCCCCATTGTAGCCATGCCTCATACTGCTCATATCCCTCTTTTGCAGCCCTGTTAGAGAAACGCGGATTTTGGGTCCTTAGCTTGAAAAAAACAAAAAAAGAGGAGGCGGAGCTAATGCCTGATCAGAATTCTACCGGAGATAAAGTTAAATTCTGCTGTGATAAAACGCCATCCTGTTCTAAACCACATCAAGGATTATTTCTGAAACAGTATGGAGCTCAAATGCTTTTTCTCTTGCGGGTTTATCACAAGGTGAGTTCCTTTATTTATTTCCTGCTTTTAAAAACACATGTGCTCTCCAGTACAGGTTAGCTCTGAGTGTTAGCCAGGCTTGCTAATGTAAACAAAGACGAGATTACGTCCAAAACACGTCAGGCATTGTTTCTGATAGCAATTTTCTGAGGGTCCACCATCCAAAATTACGTAATATTGGAAGCAAATATGTATCAGCTCGTTGTATCCCCGTTTTTAAAAGATTTGGGTACGGAGGAAAAGAGAAAGGGTTTTATTTTCTGACGCTGCGAGAGTTCCCCGACACACCGGGGACACATACTTATGTATACAAGACATCAAAAAGTGCATTTTGCATGATACAGTAGGTCCCCTTTAAATTTAAAATGTTTCGGTGTTGTTTTTGAATGATATCATGATGGGGTATGAGAGGAGTTCTCATACCCCAAATGGTAACTTTAAATAAAATCAATAACAGAGCTCGGGGAGGGGGAAAAAACTATTTCCACGATAAAAATCAAGTAAAACAATTGGATATTTTCTTAGAGATTTAAAAAGTTGGATTTAAGTTGAGTTCAACTCACAGATTTTGTGCATTTTAAGTCACAATTCATGATGAGGTTGATTTAACCATGCATAGTGAAGCAATTAGGTTACTTCACAACAAAAACAACAAATAATCCGGGTTTTTATCCTGGACATTCACTTTGCAGTTTCTACTGAAAATATTACCCAACCTTGAGTGTTAACTTGTCCTGTTACACTGTCGTAGCATCACGTAAAACATTATAAAAGAACTTCTATAGAAGTCAATAAAAAAATAACAAAATTCAGTCTTCAATTATTTAAAATCAGCAACCATTGAAGTCGACATCGTTATGTTTCTGAAAATATGACGGAACTATTTGTGTCACGACGGAGAAAGTGGACTGATTTCGTAAAACCTCATAGGCCAGATTTTATCTTTACAAACGTATGATTTTACTGTGAAGTCCTGATCACTCCCTAATGTTCGTATTGTTCGTACTTTACTGTTTTATCTTTGTGTATAAAAAGAAAAAAGGCATTTCGGACAGACAAACTTAAGATGTACAATTACTACAGTATGTCTTGAAAAACACTGTAATTGTTTGCTGCCAAATGTCAATAAAAAATATATTACAAAAAATAAAATATGTTTGACACTGTTGACACACAGATGTTCACCTTGGCTGCAGCGCCCATGCTGTTTCCGTGCAGCGCGCCGAGGCTCAGCAAGGCGCTCACTTCCTGTTCCTCCTTGTTGTCATAGCCGTCGAAGCGAACGCAGCAGCGCTCACCTTTGACCCAAAGGACCACAGCCGGGTAGACCATACTGTCCTCAGAGTAAACGGCCCGACATCGAGAGCCAGGTTTCCAGTCCTGTAAAGAGACGGCAACACGGTGTATACAGATTTAACAATTTTTTTTTAATTACGGCTCAAATAGATAGATAGATAGATAGATATTATTAATCCCAAATTGTGAAAGTAGAGTGGAGACTCAGATATTGCACGTGCCTTAAAATCTATACTGCCATACAACCTATAAAAAGGTATCTTAACATGTAATGTGAATTAATAAAAGATTGTAAAATATTCAGTTATTATTAAATGGGTTCTATGGGTTTGTTAAAAGGTCAAGTACCAATCAAATAAACTCTTAATTACCAATTCAATTAAGGCTCAAATGTGTCTTTGTTGCAGAGGAAATGTTGTTGTCAGTTTGTCAGAAAATATTAAACTATGTCAAATAACCTTAAATAGAACAGAGAGAAAATCCCTAATATTCCCCAGGCTTGATTGGAAAATAAAATATGCTAACTTTCATACGCACCAGAGCATTGGGCTCGATCCCATGGTCTTCTTCATCCAATGGAGGTTTCTGGTGTCATAATTAAGATAATAAAAGAAATGTTTGAGTTGCAGCTGCATAAAAAGACATGGCATTGTACAATAAAAATGTAAAGAAATAAACATTTCAACTTGTAAACATCTCAATAGAAATAAAATAGCATTAAAAAAAAGTTGAAAATATGTTGATATTACAAATTTACAGTAACAAATTGTGAGAAGTTCAGTACATTTAAGAGAGGTTTTAAGGGTGAAAACATCTTAAAATTGACGTGAAAAGTTATACACATTATCCATGGAGGAATGGCTTTCACTCTATTTTGATAAACGTGTTACCAGACAGTTTTGCATCGGTGTTTGAGGAGCATCATCGGGCGCTTTGAGCTCGCTCAGTGCCAAGTCCTCATAGTTGCCGTAGTCGTTGAAGCGGACTCTGCAGCGTTCTCCGTCCAGAGAAACCACGATCGCCGGGTACACCGTCCTGTCCTCCGACCACACCGCCCGACACGCAGCGCCAAGCGCCCACTGACACACAATGAGCTCTTTAGTTATTGATCATCAGTTCATTTCTCAGGGTGCTACCTAGTTATACTAAATGGCAAGAAAATATCTGAGTCTAACCAACCATACTAGGGCTTTTTCTGGTGCCGATCTTGTTTATAAGATATATAAATTCTCGGGAGAACATGACTCCCGTATACAAGATGGCGTCGCAGATGTAAACAATAAGCTCCGTAAAAACAAAGCTGTCTCTGTGGTCTGACATATTTTGCGAGTAATCATACCGCATTTGACGAACAGAAATATTGTTTTTTGGCATCACAGAAAATCTGTTTTTTGGTATGAGGGTGCACGTCGAAACTAAGAGGGCGCAGCGCCCCTGCCGGTAGTGGAGAGTTAAGGATAACTCAAGTGTTGGCACTAGTTTTGTGTCTATCACTAGGTTCACCCCGGTGTGTCGGCCAGAACACCCCTTAAGGCCAAAGATCCAGAATAGAGGAAATGAGGAGCCGAGATGAAGCTTGACTTCTTTACTGATTTAGGCAGACATACAGATATGTGTGTGTGGTTTTTCCTTCATTTACGCAAACAATACGAAACACTTAAGACGGCACTGCACAACTTTCCTGCAACTTCTGAAGCACATTGCCCTCTGATGTATGACGTCACCCAAAACACGTGGGTTAGCCCCTCCCCACTATGAAAACATAACTAAACAGGTATCATCTAGGGCTGTATCCGGATATTCGGTAGTAATCAGCAGCGAATATTCGGCCCCCGCGGGAGGGGGGGGGGTAATCGGCAGCGAACCGCTTCAACACGTGTATTTCAGTTTATTCACGGCATTCATTTTGTTATTCTACAGTATTGTTGTTTTATAGTTATTTGTTAATGTATTTAACCCAATTTGTGTTCTTTGAAATTGAAAAGGATATCGCATTGTGTTTGTTACTTTCGTTGCAGTTGTATATGTCTTAAGTGTAATTTGGCTTGGCTTCCTATTTTGTATGGACATGCTTTTATTTTGAAGGAGAGTTAGCGCTGTTGACAGGAAGTTGTTGTTGCTATGGAAACAACGTGACGGAGATTAACGGAGAAAAGTCATATCTACATATAAAGACGGAGAAAGTAAACGATAACGTTTATGGTTAAGTGTTAGTACCCCCCGAAGAGGCACAAGCTCTTACGTTGATATTGGAGATTTCAATAAATTCAATTTGGCAGCCGCAGTGCAAAGCGGCTGCCAAAAAAAACGAATAACGAAATTGGAACCCGAATAGTAATCCAACGAACGAATATTCGGGTACAGCCCTAGTATCAACTCTGTATGATAACTGAAAATATATAACAATAACTTATAACTTTGGGGGCTTTTCTACAGCCCCTGTTACCCGGTTTAGACAAAACCCTGCATTCCAAATATATTTAGGCGATACCCATAAAAAAGAAAAAAACATTTGAGGTGAGGACTTATACAGTAAAATAGAACGTTTCAAGTTATTTTAAGTTGTAATGCCATTTTACTACAGTTCAGTTCAGTCCAGTTTATTTATATAACAAATTGTTCTTTAAACCAGTCATTACCTTTGTCTCTGTGCTGGAGGATTCGGCTGCAGGCGGATCGACCGTTGGCTGTCCGTCTGGAGGACTTTCCTTCTCTTCGTCCTGCTGTCCGTCTGGAGGACTTTCCTTCTCTTCATCCTGCTGTCCGTCTTCTTCATCATCCGGTTTCTCTCTGCTCTCCGTCTCCTCTGAGGCTGCAGATGCTGCCGGTTTAACATCCTGGGCACAACAATCACAGAAAGTGTCAGCAAGTCATTCATTAATCTCTTACATTTTCAGCAACATTTCATTCCAAACTGATTTGTTAACAGTGTTGTTTTCGACAATTGGAAATATTTAATGACCAACATTTTTAAAGGAGAGTGGGTGGTGGACTGTTTAACTAGATTCTCAAATACTTAATGTACTTATTTCCTTTAAGTATTGGTGTTTTTTTAGGTATTAAAATGGCTAGAATAATGGATTTTGGTTAACTTTTCTATACAACACAGCTTTACAGTATGTGTGTAAAGCACTTTTCCCGCTGTTCTGGGACTAATAAAGGATTTCTGATTTGTAACCTTCAGACCAAAGTGCTGTACAGAGAAATAAATACATAAATACATAAACCACACAGCTCAGCTCACAAACCATAAATTAATAAAAAAATACAAATTAAAAAAAGGAGTAAAACTAAAATAAACAAGAATAAAATAATACTATCTCTGTTGTAGGTTGACCATTGAAGCTACAAAAGTTTCCCCTCACCATTTCGGATCTATTTTATTAAATGTAAAACTTTAAACGAACCTGTGAAATTTCGAAATTGTTTTCAAAAGCTTCTACGAGAGACATTTCCTCTTTAATGGCCGCCATGACGCCCTCCTGCAAAAAGAAAGGTTTTAAAGAGTGAGCTAGTGACGTCACCTGTAGCTAGGTAAAGTATTTTTTTAAATAGCCAAACTGCCCGTTTAATGACCAGCCAGCAGAATAGAGTGGTGCAGTGACGCGTCCTAAAACCCGGAAGTAAGTTAGCATTTTACCACTTCCGGTTCTCTCGACAAAAAAGCAATGCAATTTCTCCATAGGGTTTTGGAAAATATCTGTATATAAGGTCTGTGGTTGAGACAGATCAGGTTTTGTTCTATGACATTAAATACATCAGCAGTGATCCCACTGGTGATTTCTGAAGAGTGTACGTGTCTGAAAAACGATGGTTGTTACCAAGTGGCTGAATAGGACTACAGAAGTTGTCGAGGCCGTTGTACGTCATTACACCAAACTCGTAAACACTCCCGCTAAGTTTGTTTTCCCTGTTCTGCTTGAAAGCAAGTACCTGTCTCCTGCAAACTGTTCAAACAAATGCTTCAACTCGTACCATTTAGAATCTGTATGTTTGAATACGGATCTTAAGTTGGCGTGACGTTGAAGTCGTGCGACCCTGCTGTAGTTCGTTTATAGCATAACGTTAGCATTTAGCTTCTGGCGATTAGATTTACAATTAGAAAATTATAAAAGTAGGGTAGACATGTGGAGATTATCCGACTGAACAAAACGTGATCCGTCTCTTAAATGTGTGTCAACCACAGACCTTATTTCGAGCTATTTTCCAAAATCCTATGGAGAAATTGCATTGCTTTTTTGTCGAGTGAACCCATGCGCAGCTTACTTCCGGGTTTTAGGACGCGTCACTGCACCACTCTTGCAATCATTTCTGAACACATATAGAGAGGCGAAGTCCCTCGCCTTCCGGTTGAGCTCCATGGGACCTTATTTCGGAAAAGTTATGCATTGAAGTCAATGGAGAGAGAAAGATTATCTTTCGAACCCGTTTGAATTGTGCCACGAATTACACATATGATGTTTGTCAATTTAAAAGATAATTTTACAAGTCAAAAAAATTTAAATATGTCGTAAAACTTTTTTTTTGTGAAACCGCTCAATGACCTACATCTCCCGTCTCGCACCACACACCAAGACGGCCGTCACGTTGGCACATTTCACCTCTTTCTTTCAGAATGAGGCGAAAAGTATTAAAAGAGGTGAAAATCACTCCAAGTCTGGGCATGTTGAGAGCTGTACATACACACAAGGGGAGTTAGTCGGTTCCGTAAGAGCCAGCATGCGGGACCGGGATTCTGGGATTTGTAGTCTTTCAAGTTGCGTATTTTTCATAGTCTTATATTTCAACAGTTTTACGACAATCTGTGACTTTTTTGACATGGAAATTATTATTTAAGATTGACAAACATTATATGTGTAATTCGTGGCACAATTCAAACGGGATTGAAAGATAATCTTTGACTTCAATACAAACTTTTTCCGAAATAAGGTCCCATGAGTCCCACCGGAAGGGGAGGGACTTCGCCTCTCTATTAAATATATGCCTCTTTTCCTGCACTATAGTTAAGAAATGTTGGGATGCTCTCCAGTATTTGGTTAATTTACAATGAGCAAAACCGGTCATAACATATGATAATATAAAATGTGGCCTTCAATTTGAAAAAATAATTTAAAAAAGATTAATCTACAAGTGTTGCTCCCATTAAAATGTCTCCAGTATTAAATTGGATTTCTTAATGACATGAAACCATACAAAAAAAACAATATTAAATGTTGCAAAAAGTTACAAAAAACAACAAGTCTACCAATATCTTCACACCCCAATTCTTAAGTGACCACCAATTTCCAACACGTTTGAAATTAGCCAAACGGCTGTTTAATTAGCCGTTAGCTACTGTAGCTATTTAGCTAACTAGTTACTTCGTTACCATGATCTTTCGTTTTTTTTTAAGTCATTGAAGACAAACATTATATAAATAAAGACGTACCGGTTCCACGGGTATGCTGAGAACGGGGATTTCTGCCGGTTCAGCCATTGCGGTCATCACTTAAACGATAAATCATTTCATACAGGTATAATTTTTAACCGCGACACACACGCCTGCATCAAATTGACCAGATTAGAGGAGACGGCTTCCGCTCATACCTTTCAAGATAAGAGTCGATTTGTGGAAAATGTACCCCTTGGATCTTAGAACAACAAACTCCCTTAGCATTTTTTATATTAAACGATAAATCATTTCATACAGGTAACATTTTTTAACCGCGACACACACACCTGCGTCAAGTTTACCAGATTTGAGGAGACGGCTTCCGGTCATACCTTTCAAAATAAGGGTCGACTTGTGGAAAATGTACCCCTTGAATCTTAGAACAACAAACTCCCTTAGAATGTGTTATATTAAATTAAATACCTTTTTTTTATGTGGCTTTTAATTTGGGGACATGTTAGTGTTGTCACTGTTCATGTTTTATTGTTTTATGATTTTCTGATCTAACTTTTTCTGTTCTGTTGTTTTTAATTTAGTTTCTTACTCTTTATTTTTACTCACTGTTATTTGTTGTGTATCTTGTCTAAAACACGTTGGGCTGCATATTGCATGAAAAGTGCTATATAAATGAAGTTTAACATTATAACACTAAGTACAAGTGATCAGTGGTGTAAAGTAGATTTACTCAAGTAAGTACTATTTTCTCTCTCACCCTGGGCCTGCTGCTGACTGAAGAGCCTGTGTTTGACTGTTTTGTTTAGTTGCTGATTCTACTGTGGACTCTGTTTTCCGACCTTTGTGAATGTGTGTGTGGTGGGAGCAGGTGGAGGAGTTAGGTAAGTTTGGGGTACCCTTTACATTTCATCACGTATAGGTAACAAATGTTAGACACACATTACACGTAATTTGTTAGACGCTTTTATCCAAAGCGACTTACATACATTCAGTCCTGTTGACAATCCCCACAGGAGCAATTTGGGGTGAAGTGTCTTGCCCAGGGACACAACGACATGCTGACTGCAGCGGGACTCAAACTTGCTATCCCCTGATTCGAAGTCCAGCACACTAGCCACTGAGCCACAGCCTCCCTAGTGAGGGTTTTTGTTTGAGTTTTGGCTTCAGAGGATAGATGTAGAGATAGGCCTGGTTTTGTTATACTTATTTATTTTGTTTGGCACAATCTCCTTTCTTGTCTCCTCCTCCTCCTCCTCCTCCTCCTCACTTAAAGAGCATTTATGGTCAGTTCTTTGTTGTACAAGGAATACACTTTTGTTAACGTTTACGCTGACTCCCTCATTTTATTGGTTGTTGTGTGTTAATGTCTCCAGGTCCCCGGCCTAGACCTTAGTGGGGAGTGGGGACGTAACACAAATGGGTACTATTTTGAAACTAGTACTTTACTTGAGTATTTACATTTTTTGCACCTCTGTACTTCTACCTCACTACTATTCAAGTAAATAGTGTACTTTTACGCTACATTTATTCAATACCTCAGATTTGGGATTAATGATGTGAAATATAAACATCACTTAAATCAGACTTTATAGAATTGGGAGGGATGAAACCCTCTTTAATGGTCTCACATGCAGAGCACACAGCACACACAGTGAAATGTGTTCTCTGCTTTTAACCCATCCTAGTACCAGGAGTCTAGTACTAGGAGCAGCTATTGTACAGCGCCTGGGGAGCAATGGGGGGGGGGGTGGGGGGTTGTCCTTGCTCACGGGCACCATGGCAGGGCAGGAGGTGAACTGGGATCTCTCCAAGTACCAGTCCACACTCCATATTTAGGTCTACGTTTAGGTACATAGGACCCCACGGCTCACAGTCCAAGCCCCTATACTGACTGAGCCACTGCCGCAGTCAATTCACAAGCTACTCTGCAGTATACAAAGTCATTTAAAAAGTAAACCTTTACAGGCTTTGAAAAACACAATAATGCATCAATAACTATAATCAAAATATATATTATTCTGAAATGGGCAAATTTGTATGAGTACTTTTACTTTTGGTACTTTAATATTTATTTGAATAGCACCTTTCATACAATCATTGCAGTCCAAAGTGCTTCACAGTAGACAATTGACATCTCGTAAAATAGTCACAGAAAACTGATATCACACAGAATACAGTTACCAGCAAAAGTCAAACAAAATAAACATAAAAAGACGATAGAATAGACATAGAACAAAAATAAAGTACATATAGCTGACAATACTTTTGTACTTGTACTTGAGTAACATTCTTAATGCAGGATTCTAACTTGTAATAGAGTATTCCTACACTTAAGTACAAGTTCTTCTCCTACCTCTGCCGATGCAAGTCAACGGAGAAAAGGTATTTTTGGGCCAAAATGACGTCACTGGAGTTGTAGTAGCACCGTTTGGCCACAGGGGCAATTTCCCCAAAAAACCCATGAAAAAACCCGGCTGGCTTGGTTTGACAGCGTCGCGGTGCATTCTGGGATACATGGCGCTCATGTTTACAAGATGGTAGTGGAGGATTTTTCGCTCTGACTTACAAACAGAAAGTATTAACACTTGATTTCCTGACGTATTGACTCTTAAATCCTCCTTTAGTCTCGGTTTCCATTGAAAGGTGGACTCAGTTTTAAGAAGGAAACGCAGCAGGCTCTCTTTGCTCTCAATGTGTTTTAAATAGCAGAGGAGATTATTTTTGCACAGTCACTGACAGACTCACGGACCAACAGACACACAGACAGGACTATACCCTTGATAAATCCACAGGTAAGTGCATTCATCTGGTTTTAATGTGCTTTTGTGTAGTGTTCACTTCCTTAGCTTGTTTATTTGTGTGATAATAAACTAGCTAGAGGCTAATCTGAGCATTAAACACAGAGTTGAGTGACAGCTAGCTTCAGTCAGCTGTCAGATTTGTGCAAGATCACAGTTGGTGTTGAAATGTGGCTAAAAAAAACTATGGGAGCACATTTTTGTCATTGTGATGGAAGTAAACATCCTGTAGGTCCAAATAAAATACAAAATAAAATGACCTAGTGTGTCAACATATTCAGAATCTCCAAATAATGACTTAGTATCTCCAAATAATGACTTGTATCTAAATAATGACAAAATAATGTCCTAAAATCTCCAAATAATGGCTTAGTTTCTCAAAATACCGACTTAATATCTCACAATAATGAGAAAATAAGGACTCAGTAACTCCAAATAATGACTAAGGACCTAGTACATACTGGCCTTTAATGTTGTTTTACTGTATATAGTTTACTGTTCACTTCCTTAGCTTGTTTATTTATGTGATAATAAGCTAGCTAGAGGCTAATCTGAGCATTAAACACAGAGCTGAGTGACAGCTAGCCTCAGTCAGATTTGTGCAACATCTCAGTCGGTGTTGAAATGTGGCTAAAATAAACAAAAACATGTGATTTAGCAAGGCTTAATACATTCAAGCTCAATGTAATTTAAGGAAAAATACCCTATAAGTAATGTTAATGACGTAATATGTCAAAATAATGAGTTTCTAAATTAAAATAATTGTTGGTGGTACAGAAATAAATGTCTTACTGTGTCCAAAAAATTAAGTTTGACAAAATAATTGCTAAATTATTACTTCAACATAATGACTTAAATGTCAAAATAATGACCCAGTTTCTCAACAACAACAAAAAAGATATCAACAACGACTTCGTTATTCAAAATAAACATTTGTATTTTAAAATAATTAGTTATGACATGTGTAAAAAAATGACAAAAATAATGACTTGGTATGTCACAATAATCCCAGATGATTCAATATCTGAAAATGTATACAAATATTTCTCGAAAATGTGGGAATCTTGATGAATTATTTAGACATTTTAATGCTATTAATTATTTTCAGATACCAGCTCATTATTAATAATAATTCCTTATATTTATTATAGTGCTTTTTCCATGACCCAAAGCGCTTTACAGATACACATTACACATACATACATGTAACGGTCATGTACTGTGGACAATACCCACAGGAGCAAATTCAGGTGAAGTGTCTTGCCCAAGTACACAACGGCAGCGGCGGGTTTCACTCCCTTGATCTGATGATCAATGCACAGCCCACTGCGCCACACCGCCCATCTTCACACCTCAAAGTCATCAAGGCGCTTTACAAGTACACATTAATATCATACATGTACTGTGGACAATACCCACAGGAGCAAATTCAGGTGAAGTGTCTTGCCCAAGGACACAACGGCCTGAGGCAGTGGCGGCGGAAGCGGGTTTCGAATTTGGAGTTCCCCAACGCCCCCTTGATCTGATGATCAAACGCACAGCCCGCTGCGCCAATCCGCCCCATTATTGCGAGAATGTGTGCATTTATGATGTCTCACAATACGTTATTGTGTCTTCCACAGGACTGTCTATTGGGTCTGCAGGAGTGTCCCTGAATCCAGGAGTGTCCCTGAATCCAGCCGAATGTGAGTCTACTTATTTAGCTCAACTAGTGGAACAAATAAACCTGCAATAATTTAAACATGTATGTACATTTCCTTCCCATTTCTGTCCTTGAATCCTCTGTTTGACTTCCTGTTTCCTGACCACTTTACAGGAACAGAGCGACTGCAAAGCATCTAATCGAGCGCTACTTTCGGCAGTTAACCGAGGGCTGTGGAAATGGCGACTGCACGAACGAGATTTGTGCATCGTGTCCCAACTTCAGATCGCTGGATAACAACACGGCGGCCGCCAAAGCGCTGGATCTGTTCAAGGTTAACGCCAAACTCTGTAACCCCAACCCCTCCAAGAAAGAGCAAGACTCTGATCTGGTCAATAAGATGACGGACGTTGGAAACGCCAAAGAAAACTTCTCAGGTAACTCACAGCTGAATTTGTCACTATATCAGATTTCACTACACGGTTATTGTGTCCAAAACAATTCACAATATCACAAATTAATTACACTTAAGTAGTAGTTATACTGGAAATAGCAGTAGGGGTAGTAAAAATAATGTCCAAGTATCTCAAAATAATGACAAACGATCTCAAATAATGACTTAGTATTTCAAAATAATGACTCAGTATGTAAGACAACAAGA